CAATTTTATAGCTGAAAACTCCTAGGGAAATTAGCGGTTCACCTGTTCTGAGCACCTTTTATTTTGTGGTTCAAATGTTGAGACCGTCTGTACTGAGAGCTGTGCTTCAAGCTAAATAAAGCATCTTTGGGAATTGGATGCAGCTCCCATGTGACCGATATGTTGACAAGTAGTTGGAAGGAGAGACTGTGTGAAAACCGCAGCATCCTCGCGCTATCGTTAGAATGAGCCAAGCAGTCTGCACAAAATACGAGGTTTTCTCATTAGCAGCATTTGTCCCTGTCGGAGGAAACTTCCCATGGAAGAAGTTTAGGTCTGACAATGGTGACCTGGAATCCTGTTTCCAGTTGATCCATTTCTGCTCCTTTCCCACAAGGGGAAGATGGTGAATCCTCTCTCCACCCAGCTGTACGGGTTTGTTCCCTGGCCTTTGGGTCTGCTTGTGCCCTTACAGCTTTCCCAGGGAGAAGGGGAGTTTGTAATGTTCATCGTTTCCTACCAGTGCTGCTTTCCAGGGACTTAAACAGAAGCCAAGTAAAAAGTTTTTATGGAGAGAAGGCAGCCAGCCAAATTTCCCACTAAAATAATCCCGTTTGCATTTTTTTTTGCAGTACTCCAAGCAGGTGGATGACAGGTTTGGAGCCTATGTGGCTTGTGCCTCCCTAGTCTTCCTCTTCATCTGCTTTGTTCAAATCATAATCGTGCCACAGTGAGTACCTTTTCATGCCTTTGCTCCCATCTGCTCCCCTCTATTCTGGCCTACTTTTGTTTCTTTTTTTCTTGATAATTCAGGGCACCAAGGGGAAGAGAAAAATCCTTAAATAATTCATGCTCAAGTGATGCATGGTGCTTATTGTTTTCACTCATTTCTAGTGCAGATTAAAACCTCCTCACTGGCACGTGAGGATTTCTGTTTTCCCAATGCGATTTCTCTTACCATTTACCTCCATCTCAGGAATTCAGTTCAGCACCTTTCTGAGCCTGGGGGAAACAAATATCACTGAGTAGGAAGGATCGCCTACTAAGGCATATAGTACACATTCATAGCACGAGGCTAGGCTGTCCTCCTATCTGAATGCAGTGGGACAGAGAGTGAAAAGCCTGTCACAGCCTCATTGCTCAGAGCACTGAGGTCTCAGGGTCTGCTTCACAGTTGAGACATGACCTCCCATGCATTTATTCTTCTGGACTCAAAGTAGCAGTGCAAGAAGAAAAGCACAGAAGGAGCTGAGCTACAATGTGCCTGTGCTTTGGGTAGCTCACTCCGTTTTCAGGGGTTGCAGTCATTTCTTTCCCCAGGCAAGAGTGGCATAAGCTCCTCAGGGCTGTGGGGCACAGTGCTCTTGGACCACTGCAGTGAAATGCTTTGTCTGAAAGGCACAGTGCAACCCACTGGATCTTTTCCAGCTGTGAGCTCTGCAGACATGATATTTCTTCTCAAAGAGTTCATAAAAAATCCCTTAAAATTAAAGCATGTTGTTATTTCCTGTGCTCTAGTTTAGTAGCAATAATACATCATTCACTGAGCACTGCTATGTTGAAAATAAATTTGGAGTTAGTAATTTTTAATATGAAGAACAAGATCACATAAACTCTGAAAAGACCCTAAATTCATCTTCATTACAAGCAGGCAAAAAAAATGTTTAAAGATAGTTCCAATACTGCTATATGCCATTGCAACTGCTCTCTACTTCTGTTCACACCACAGATCTTTTCAGAATAGATTGGTTTGTATGGTTCAGATCAGATATTCAGAAGGTCACAGAAACAACACATAGTCTGATGTCTGGGGTCATTCGCTCTCCCACGCAAGAGGACATTCACTTCTGCTCACAGAAAGATTGAATCAGCAAAAAGCCATCAGTACAAATGCACTGTGTAAACAGACAGATCCACTTTGGGAAACTGGAACTGAAGCTGAAAGAGGCTCAAAATTGAAACTAGATCAGTCCCAGCAATTAATGCATTGTTAATTATGGCCAAAAATATCTTTAGGAGTAATGGATTTAGGGAGGGCTTACACTTCAGATCTCTGGATATTACTGCTGTGACTTCACACCTGCAGAGGCCCTCTACCAACCTTTGTGTTGCTCATCAAACTCCCTAAACAGCCACTAAGCATTCTCCATAAAACCCAGTTTAACATTTAAATGACAACTTGACAATTTCTGATCTGCAGCAACCATATGGCTGACTCCTTTGTATTACACAGGAGCCAATCCCTTACGGCAGCGTGGTGTAAATGTCATGCTGCTCAGTCTCTTTCCACGCTGCCCATAAGGGTGGTGGGTTAGGTTTTTTGGTAAGTTATGAAGTGTCCTTAGACAACCTGGCCTGTCTGAAAGATGATTTGGTTGAAGAGTAAATAAAATTTCATGTTTTAACTGTGGGCCAGATATACTTTCCTTCAGCTTTTGGTTTGCTTTTCCATTACGTTTCAATTGCCTAGTTTTGGTCTTTTATTGAAGCAGCAACTGAAACCATGGGTGTGTATGTGTCACCATCAGAGCTTCATGAAAGACACAACATGGAATTTGAATCAGAAACTAGAGAAATGGCAGTGATAATTTATGGCGATACAGAGGAATAGCTTTAATGAATTTCACAACGGCTCAAACAGTGAATTAGCAAGTACAATTATCTTAGTAGTCATGAGAGAACAAAGGACCAGCTGGCTTTGGCGTGGTTGGCCTCAATGTCACATCGCAAGAATACTTCCTTTGAATTATGAACGTGGCTAACTCCTGTGAGGGGGCCTGTCCTGTCACACCGAGACCAATCACTGGGAAATTGTTGTTCAATATCCTCATGATCAAAACACATGAAAATGCATAGTACAGAGTTGGCCCTGGGGTCCTGTTTGTGCTCCAAAGTTGGGAGGAACAGGAACGTATCAAGCTGACCAGGCTAAAGCTGTTTTCCCTGACGATCCTCATGCCATGGTTGCTCCCATCCCGTTCACAAGACAGCCCACAGAGGACGGAGCAGCACAGACGCTCCCCACGTGCGGCAAGGATGGGTGCGTGCAGCACTCAGTGTGCTTTCCTTCCCAGGGGTCTCCTGCCCACAGCCAGCTGGGGGCTGACCACCCATTACAAATTGTTCTGTCAGCTCCTCTAGTGCATGAAATATTCTCAGTGTCTCTGCTGACACCCAGGCAGGAAGGTGATAGCTGTAAAAGATGCAGTATTCTCTGCTCTGCAGCCTGTGTGAGTAATTCGAAATAGGACAGAGTATCTGTTTGTATTCAAGGCACCTCACATCTCCTAGTGCTATCCTAATTGGGAAGCCGGTGCAGTGTGTCATAGCTTGTACAAATGTCATGTTCTGGAGAGCAGAGCTGCAGCTATTCTATATGGTGTGTATTTAAAAAAAAAAAAAAAATCATCTCCTTGATTTCAGCTCTACGTTTATGCTGGGTTTTTACCTGACCTGTTTCCTGATCCTGACCACAGTGGTGTTTGTTTCAGTCATTTACTCCTGTGTAAAGGTGAGTACTGAGGTTTCTTTGTAGAGTCCTTTGCCTGAGATAACTGGATCAGCAATCTGTTTCTTCAGCTAACAGAGCATGTTTTGTTAGCAATCCTTTCCACACTCTGTGATAAGGGTTACAGAAAAAGGCTTTGATAAGACAGAATGAACTGCAAACAGATGTTAGGGTTGGCATCTCTTTAGCTCAGTGAGAAGTAATCACTCTGTGGATCTGCATGTCTATTAAGTCCCCCACAGGCACTCTCATATTGATATAAGAAGAACACATTTTCCAATGTGGAATGAAACACTGACCATTCGTTTCCTCCCTGTAAACTTCTCGTGGAGTCGCCTGTGTACTGGCCCCTGCTGCATATGCATGTTTGGGTAGGCACATAATCAGAAGCAGAATGTCATCAAGGAAAAATGTCCTGGGGGGAAGTAAGAGCCATAAACATATAGAAGTTTATCAGTCTTTCTCAGATGAGTGTACAGAGCTTCCAACATTCAGTGGGCTCTTTCTTGTTACTGGTTTTGATCAGCAAAGAAATACATTCTGTGAAATCCGAAAACATATTAATTCTTCTTGGCAGTCTGTGGTAAATTGGCAATCAGCACTTTGGGAAGGGTGATGTGCTCATCTTCTTCACTCAAAGGTATTAAACTGTTGATGCTAGTTGATTGTATTTGCGGTTTTGGGGATCCTTCCAGTCTAGCAGTGTCTGAACACAGAATATGTTCAGATTCAGGCTCCTTAGCCCAAGCTCAGCTTTGTTCCTCAGAGCCTGGAATAAAATAACTCAGTAGCATAATGTTTCCTGCAGAAGAAACAGTGGGGTAATGTATTACATCAGGCAGATTATTTGCCTCATTTTAATTATGTTTTCTGTGCCATTTTCAACAATTGAATGTGGGTGCTCTTGACAGACTTGCACCTTTCATGTGATTTTTGAAAGTTAGATATGGAGAATTAAGCTTTGCCTTCTCTTTTAATAAGAGATACAAACCGTTCCCAGTGAAAGAAGCTTCAGGTTATATTTGAACTTAACAACTCATTCACAGGGCTTCTCTTGGGCTTATGACAATTTTAAAGGGAGACTAGTGCATAAGCGTAGCATCCTGTTAATCCTGCTTGTTTACCAGCAATGAGAATTGCAAGTCAGAAATAACAGTGCTAAGGCTTGGGTCCCTTGAGCTGGGAAATGGTACCCAAAGATGCCTGGTTATACTTGCTGTGTGCGTTGCAGGTGAGGATGCTATTGAGTGTCATTGGTTTGTGAACTGGTATCAGCAGTTAACGTGATTAGCAGTTAATTAACAGCCAGTGTGGAAAGCTTTTGGTCACAGCCAGAAGTGACTTGGAAACTTGGTGCAGAGCTGTGCTAGAGCCTACTTACGCTGCAGTGCCACCAGCAGCAACATCCCAGCACACTGCCGGCCATGCGGAGCTACACCAATGCTCCAGCTCTACTGGTGCTGTGAAAATATTGGGGCAAGAGCTGTGGCAGACCCAGACCTCCAAAGCATTCAAGCTGGCTGCCTTGCAGCCAGATGGATTTCAAGGCATACAGCTGTTTGTTGCTCCCTGGCAACTGGGCTTAGTTTGCTTCCACATACTGCTAGCAGCACTCAGTTCTGTCATCATTCAAAAGTTTTGGGTTTGGTTTGGGCTTTTTGGTTTAATATTATTATTGATCTTAATGATTAATTTAAAAGGCACATAGGATTTTTCAGTCCCTGTGACCCTAGGCAGATGTTCAGTCTTGCTTTCTTTGCCTCGATCCTCCAAATTCCTGTGGAAGAGGTCTGTTCAGTGGTACTTGCAACTATTTTTGGGCTGACTTTGCCTCAGTGCGCAGAAACACAAGACATGAGAGGCATTCAGACTAACATCAGAATTTAATGGGATTTTATGAAGCTCCTGGTATTTCCAAAAATGAGTTTTCATCATGTTGACCCAGCCCCACAAGGTGCTTGTGTATAACATTTAGTGTGGCTGGCGCCTTCTGTGCACAGATTGCAAATATTGAAAATATCAGACCTTATAGCTCCAGTACCTTTTTGATTACCCCTTTTTTTAGTGCTCCAGATTAGCCTCTGCTGACAACATCTGATCATGTGTTAGCTTGTTCAGGGGATGGGTACTTCTAGCTTGTCAGCTACCTGTCTGCTGGCAGCAGCTCCCCGTTGCTGCAGCCTGCTTCTGCCATTAAAGATTTTGCTGTTTCAAGTCAGCGTTTTTTAAGCGATGGGTTTATCCAGCCCTTGGTTAAGGGGTGTTACTTTATTTCTGTACTCGATGTTGCCCAGGAAGCATTTTTACACATATGCACAAGGAAGGCACTTTTACAGATCCTTCAGATGAAATTTTAAGGCACAGTGATGTCAGCATTGTTTGTTTTGTTTCACACTCAGTCCTGGGATAGGAGAGCATCTGTTTTGCATACCAATGGCTTATTCCACACAAAGTTGGAAAGCAGGTGTCCACCCCAGGGTATCTGCATAAACATAACTTTGGCCTGTTTGCTGTGCTGTTACATGATAAGTGACTCTTTTTTCTTCCTCTTTCCAGCTTTCATGTGAGATTTTCCTTCCCTGTTTTGGCCTCTCCATCTCTGGCTTTGACAGTGGCCAGCAGGCTCTTTCTGGACAGCTTGATCATGTTTTATTTTCTTTTGCTGTCATTACTATCTTCCCCTATAAAATTCTCCACGGACTAGAAGTTGATCCTGGAACTACCAATGCAGCCAGCTTGGCTTTCCAAGTTTCTTCAGCTGTAATAAACAAGAGAGTTCTTCCAGTTCTTCACTTTGATGTTCTATGAAGACTTGGCCACCGCGAGATGGTGTTCCTTCCCAATAGAGTCTAAGGTCATGGGAACCAGGCTCCCTTTGCAAATACTCCACTGACAGACATCTGTTTTGCTACTAACTTATCAAGTTTGTGTTTCTTCTTAAAATCCTTAACTTCTGGTATCTACACTGCTGTGTGGAATTCAACTTCTTGCATGTTCCTGGGAGCACATATGAGAGAAATTTCAAGTTATCCTTTATGAGAAATTAAGTTTTTTGGTAGCTTTACATAGGTGTACCTATTTCTTTGCCTCCCAAAGCTGGTCTAGATGCTCCTAAAGTGTTTGTTTTTTTTCTCAAGCAGGGAAAAAAAATTACCTCTGAAAACTGTATTTTTTTAATAGACTAATAAACCACTGTGAAATAAGTTACATAAATGGACTTGCAACATCAAGTTGCCTGGAGACGTTGTCTTTTACTCCAGCAGCATCTTAATGTACTTCAAAATGACTCAAAGACTTTTATTACTAATTGAAAAATCAAACTTAAAGACCTCATAGGTTTTTTCATTTCACAACACAACAGCAGTTATCTAAGCAGTTTTCCAGGTCCACAATATATGTTAAGAAGACAAAAAGGAGATTACTCTTCTGTCTGTGATCAGCTGTTATTGCAAAGTACAGTTTTTATTTAGTGTATTTGTGTCATGCAAATGACTGGAGGTTGTGGATTACTTTCAGTGTAACACTAGTACTTGTTGGATCACTTTTTAAATTCAGACTTCCACCTGTACAACAGTGCCCTGCCTTCCCCTTCTTACATTCATTGGTACCTGTATGCTTTCTCCCTTCTGGGAAATAATGTCTTCCAGAAGCATTTATGCATTTCAATTCAGAATGAACTGGAATCAACTGGACAATCCAATTTCCTTTTCCCCACTGTGGTTATTTTTCTTTACACAGGGATTTTAAGAGGGCTAATGAGTGACCTTGGCTTGTGTAGCAACCCAAATGTGAATCTCAGCTGCCCAAGCGGATCACGTCTTTTCTTTCAGCCCCTGTTCTCAGTGGTGCACGTGCAGGCTTAGAGTTGCCATTTCATCAGACCTTCCCTTGTTCTGTTCTTCACTCAGGCAAGATTTGAGTCTTATTAAGAGGAGTAAATGGTGCTGGACAGTACAAACCAATGGGCTAACCAGCAACAGTGCATGGATTTTCACTGTACTAGAACATCCTGATGTTCTGCTTCTCTTCCTTGGGCAGAAGACATTTTATTTTATTTTATTTTATTTTATTTTATTTTATTTGAGAATGGCAGGAGAAGTAATCTTATTTTTTTGTTTGTTTGGATTTTTTTTTTTTTGTTTTACCCCTGGCTTGTGGATGTTTCTATGGAGGGAACATTGCTAGAGTGGAGCTGAATTGTCAGAGCTGAGACACATCCCCCATCATAGAAGTCCCCCAAGCTGCAAGCATTCCTGGTCTCTCCATCTGCCTCTGTGAAATGGGGAGAGCCTTACTAATGTTACAGACCCTCTGTGAATGCTGTTCACAAGGCAGAGGTTCCTCAGATGTGTGGCATGCTCTATTGCAATCCTGACCTCCTATGGTTTTTGGCATTTGTTTCCTTTTCAGGACTTTTTTCAGCTGTACTTGTTTACTGACCTAAAATTTTCCCTAGTTTACAAGTAATGAGAACCAAGATTAAAACAAAGAAAACATGTTTTCATTAGAATTTAAGTGTCTTCTAATGATAGCTTTGCCTGATATCTCAGGCTTGGTTCAAAGTCAGGCTTTTTTGGGATCGTTGGCAGCAGGGGCTTGAGCCAAGATCCACAACAAAGCACTGATTTCCCAGAGATTACAGGAGATTAGGTCTGTGAATACCTTTGTGGAGCTTGGCCTTCAATCCTAAACAAGGGAGTGGCAGCAAAACCTGTCCTGCTCTAATCTAGTGAGAAAACTGTTTAAATGAAGCACAAATCCTCCTTCTCCCTCCAAATCCTGTAAAGGTTAGAGTAGAGGAAAGCCCCATGGCATTCCCCACATCCCTGCGCTGGCATCTGCTAGCTGATGTCTGCGTGGAAGCAGGTGGACGTGGTCAGGCAAGGAGGTGTTTTGGTTTATGGCTTATCAACAGAGCCAAGGATTTCTGCATCAGCAAGGTTTATTTCTGAGAGAGGTGTTCTACCTTGTTTAAAGTGGCTGCATGAGCCTGAAGGGTTGTATAAGCTTTCAGTGAATTTCGATCAATTCTCATGCAGCGCAAATAAGTCATAACCCCCATCTCCCCTCTCCTCCCGTCCCCCACAGAGCCTTGCCCTCTCCTCTCGCCTGGAGTTAGCTGGATTTTTGTGCATGTGCAGGTGAAATCAGCTCTTTCAAAACTCTTCCATGTCAACTTCTGTCTCCCTCTGTAAAAGTCACCAGGTAATCAGCGCTTTGGCCATTCAAACACTTTGTAATTACGTTGTAGGGCTGCTGTGTGGGAAGCTATGCAGTGGCGAAATGTTACATCTCTGAAGATGTAAGAGTGAACAATAAGAGGGAAAAGCAGGACTTTTAATAGAAACATTAGTCATAGTTAAATTGCTGTGTCGCTGCGCCGCTAGCTTCTTTGTGTCTCTAAAAATACCCTCTAGTGGCTTGGTTATTTATTCAGCCCGCCGGGAGGGGAAGGA